ATTCTGAAACAATGGGATCTGAGTTAAATATTTTAATCACTCCATCAGGATACCTCTGCCAAAATAGTGTTCACCTGCCTGTACGCATATTCAATTTCCTGTTTTAAAATTAGACCAAACCAAATTGTAGCCAATTTCTCAATGTTGGACAAGGGATTGCCAGAGGTGTGATGGTTAGAGTAATTGTCTAATTGTTTTTTTGTTTTGTTTTTTTCATTTCCAATTAGTCTTTCCTCCTATCCTATCCTATCCGATCCTATTAGAGGCTTTTCTTCGCTGTTTACCTGGTGACGGGGGCGGCCGACGATGGAGGGGAACACGGCCCTGGGGGCATCGTCTCCGGCGAAGCCAGCCTTCACCAGACCGGAGCCGTTGTCGCACACAAGGGCGGTAGTCTCATCATCGTCACACATCTTGGCTTCTGTAAGAGGAGAGGAGGAAATCCATCACATCAAATTCACATGGTGACACATAGTGTATGTTAAAGACAGTAAAACTTTGTTTCTTGTAATCTCACACTGGGTGTCTGGATTGTAACAGACTAAAAAGACTAAAAATAATTGTAACATCTACTGGAGCATGAAAATGATCAGGCCCCTGGCTTGCGCTAAATGTATCCATGGCACACTGACAGCAGCCCATTACGACATACAAGCCTGAATAAACCTTTAAAATCTCACTAAAGTTGTGGAACTACAGTTTCCCTCAGATATCTATCAGAAACTGGTCTTGAATAAAATCAGTCCTTTGTGTTATTTTCTAATTTGTAAACCTGTGCAAAATCATTAAAATGAAGATCTAAGGTGTGTTAAAATTCAACTAAATCTACAAGCATTCTCTTTGTCTCATTATCACCTTCTCAGGTAAACTATTCTAGCTTTTTAATTGGTCTGGAGGCGCATTTCAGCGTCAGCATCTTCCCAGGCTTCAGTGTTACACCTATGAAGATGTTCAGTACAGCAAATCTGCTGTATCTACTTTGTCCGTCTATCAGTTTATCTATCCAAAAGTTCCAGACCTGATAGTTCAGATCATAGCTTCTCCTGTCCAGCACTGTAGTTCTGAACCACCTGTCGATCTACTGGCTTCTCTCAGACCTCAGCTATCAACACTTTCCCCATCTTCCTCATGCCTCCCCCACAGTCTAGCCTTCCTTCCTTCTTTCTTCCTATCTGAAGTTGCCCATGTTGCCTGTAGTAGTAGTATCTGGTCCCAGAGGTCCTGTCCCCGGCGGACCTGTCTAACTTCTGCTCCAGTAGATGCTGTAGTGGTGCTCTGGTTATAGCCTAGTCTGCTGTCCCAGTCTGGATGAGTGGCTTCAGGGGTGGCAGGTCCTCGCAGGGTCTTACCTTAGGAGTGTGTCTGCGGCTCGGAGAGAATGACCCAACCAGTGCTGCTGCTGAACCAGCTACGGTCTTCTGCTCAGCTCGTCCACCTTATATACCCAACCTCCACCATTCACAAACCTCAGCACTGGCCCCCATCCCGGCCCTCTGCCATATTAGGATGCTGACAGGCCGAGGAGTGGGTGGGGGGATGCATCAAGGAGGCGCGCCTCGCGGAGGGAGGGCCGGAGCTCCATCAGATCCATCAGGTTTCAGGAGGGGATCAGAAGTGACGCTGCGCGTACCCGACGAGGAGAGAGCGCGCGCCATATATGGAACTGTCGCTTTGACCTCCCATCGAGCCTCGCGGTCCCACCTCGAGGGCCGTATAAGGAGCGCGCGGGCCACTGGGGTGGTTTCTAGGGGGAGACGCCAGTTGCTACCAAGCAGGGTTATAGATTTGCTGCAAGTAGGCCTCATCCAGCCTTAAAATGGGAAAATGCTGCCCTCATCTGAACAGATTTAGGCCACAGTGAGAGCCAGGACCCCAACTTCTGACTGACAGCTCCACTGGTGCTGCAGCCCTGAAAAGCCAATTAAGATTTCAATTCTCATTATCGTGATCCATTCCAGATAACACAGAATCACTTTAAAAAAGCTGAGGAAGAACATACTGTGTGGAGACAATTAAATATGATCATTATTCTAGAGATAACATTTCAGAGTAATAAAAGTTTAAGTAGACTGTTTGTAGTTGATTGTATTAAAAATTGTTGCCTGATGGACCCACCAAGCTGAACCCAATATGGAGTCATGATAAGAAAATTTGAGGCTTTTTTGCATCTATATACTGTAAGTGTAGGAACTCCCCATGTAATGTATCAGTGAGTGTGCACAGATGATCTTTTTCATTAAAAATGTAAAATTAAAAGACTGAAAAGTTGAATCATAGTCTCAATTATGCTGCACTTGCACACCAAATAAATGTTTTCTTTTTTTTTTATCCTTACACAATTTGCAATTAGTTGAATAAAAAATCTGCCACTTTGCAGACCACATGGTCTGAGATTCACACAGATCTGTCTGAGCCGTATTGAATAAATAAGGAGAGAACCACAGAAACAGCCAACAGCTGAAACCTTATCTGCAGGGGCTACTCTGCTCTGTCACTGGAGCAGTTGGATTAATTATAACTCTAATGGAGGAGGGGTGCTGCTGCATGTGTGCATGTGTGTGCATGTGGGAGTGACAAATGGAGAAAGAAGTACAGTGTATGTACATGCATGCAAATGGTCTCATCTGCATTTGGTTAGAAAGAGTTAAATGGTCTTCCACAAAGAAAAATGAAACAAGTGATAAAACACAGCTGAATATAATAACATAAAAACACTGACTGCACCACATGGCATTCTCATGTCAGAACCTAAAGCTGGATTTACATGGGAGCCGGGAAATCTTCATGTACATATAACCTTTCATGACCTGGATTCTCCTTATAGCAGCAACAGAAAGTGTCAGTATGGATTTCAAGTGGCTGGATGTGACATATTCACTTCTCTTGTCATGAAAAGGGATTTTAGGAATATGAAAATAAAATCGTTCTCACTTTCTTTAATCAAGCACAGTTAGTTGAAGAGAAATGCTTGGTTGTGTTGATCGGTCCTGCAGGTTTTCAGTGATCTCCCTCACTTGAAGAACAGTTTTAATAGAGTATCATTAAAACTTTTCGCGGGTGGGGTGGGGAGTGGGGGGTGGGGAGTGGTAGGGAGTTGATTAATATGTCTAGAAAAAAAAGAGAAGCAGGAGGGAGGAAAATCTTCGAAGTCTTGGGTGCAGACTGAAAGTAGTGAGAGTGTGTATGACGGTGGTGCACATGAGGGTCTACGTGTGTGTGTGTGTGTGTGTGTGTGTGTGTGTGTGTGGTGTGTGTGTGTGTGTTGTGTGTTGTGGGAGGGGGCGATTAGAGGGGCCGCAGAGCAAGGTTGAGCTACTTTTATGCACTTGTTGTGAGCTGTTTTGAATCCGAGGGCCTGTGAAACGCCTAAAATGTAAAGGGGCTGGCAGTTGTTGGTGGCTGAAAGAGGGAGGGTGGGCAAAGGAGGGAGGAGGTGAGGGGAGGTCAGAGGGGCCAAGGGGGGAGGAGAGTCGAGAGGGTATCCTGGAGGGTGTACTCTGGGAAAGGGGAGGAGAAAGAGGGAGGTGAAAGGGCGTGTGTAGCAGGTGGTAGAAAATATGAGTTTAGTTTGTCAGGTGATATTCAAGCAAGCCAGCTGGAGGAGAGACAGACACTCTGGAGAAAGAGTTGTTTTTTTTTTAGTGTTTTGTAATGTCACAACTACAATGTGATCATTTTAGCTGGTAAATTTTGAGAGGTGGACAGGTAGAGACAAATGGAGGATTTCTTTTTTTTCATCAGAGTAGGCTCAGCCATTATGGCTGTCTACCTTGCTACCTATTCAGTCTGATGTTTTTTTTCAGCCAACACTCTCAGACAGGACTTTCAAGCCTCTCATGGGAGCAGCACAGAGGGCGAGAGTGTCAGAGAAAGTGTAAGAATAGCACAAGCTCCGGCATTCAATAGCTGGAACCAATACTCTAGCTGTACATCAGTCTTCTACCTTTTAAAGTGTGGTAGTGTGCTCGAAATGTACAGTAGACCTTTAGTTTTCTTTAAGAGGGAACAGACAGGACATCTTGTTGGAGATTTGAATCAGTTTGTTATGTATGTTGTTACAGTGAAGAATGACTGAGGATACTATGGATATTGTAAATGGGCAGGTAAAACTTAAATCGTTTAAACACTAGCTGTTTAATCAATTCCTGTTTTACCTCATTTTGTTACTGATGGCGATCAAAACATCTCCAAAAGCACAATTGTATTTTAATACAATTTGAATTTGAAGTAATAGTCCCCTGGTTTTCTGCCTGATGACTGGCAGCAAACAGAAGGGGTGGACAGTGTTGACATACTACAGAGAGGCAGGGTTGGGAGCATGGCTCCTGATCAGAGAGAGTCAGTTTTAAAAGGGGTGGGATGTCTCATATTGTGTCAGATTTATGTCACATAATATTTGGTTTCCTTCATGGAGCTCAAACATATTTGTCTGTAGTTTCCAACAATGGAAACGTGGCACAGATGAGCTGAACCGAAATGCAGCATGAATTAATAAAGATTATTTTTTTGTTCCAGGTTCATGCATTTTTGGCCAAGTTGCATATTCTGTTTTTATGTTCCAGTTTTACAAACAAATAAGGCTGTATGTGGTAAATAAACTGATGTGGCTCAGAACACTGTGAGGCCAAAAGGGGTAAGAACCTCTTTTCCTGTAGTTCCTCAAATAGCCTGGGGTAGATACAGAGAAAAGTGAGGGGAGCTGTAGCACATGGAGCTGGAATTAGAAACCCATGCAGGGCTGAACAGCACCTGGTCAGCACTGAGGAAAAGGAGCACAACTGCTGCCTCTGCTGGAGGGGTCAACCCACTGCTGAGTTTTAAGGAGAATGCCACTGAGATGAAGAAGTAAGAGAAGTAAGTTAATGATCAGAGATCAAACTGTCAAAAGGAATAAGGTGAAAAGAATCAAGGCTTATGATTTTCTTCACCATAAACCAAAGGTCAATAATGAACATTCATGAACATGTCTGAAGGAAGAGTGCCATTCATAAAATATTCCAAAGTTTTATTTCAGAGGTGTTTTACAGCATGACTTTGCATTTTGTGACTGTACTGTTTTGAAATCATTTTTAAGTCACATCAAATAAACAACTGAACATGAATTACAATATCTAACTTGGTTGATGTGTACTTGATTAATCCTGGTAGACTCTTAACCTGTCCCTCAGGTTCTCCACACACTTACAACAGACAATAAACCCAGTGATTGCTTTCATGCACTGCTTCCCCAGGACTTATCCGAGTGTCAGCTGAGGGGACAATGTGCATGAGAAGTTCATCACACTGTCAACACGACCTACCGACAGCTGAGTACACATTACTCACATCATTACCATGAAGTTTTATTTTGGTATGAAGGACTGAGTGAACACTGATGCCAAGAACCGGCAGAGAGCAGTGGAACACCTCCTGAGTGTCACTGTAGCTCAGAGTATGAAGCACCAGCGCCACCTACTGACACCCTGACATAATGCATGAAACAGACAGTTACTGATGAGACCGTTAGAGAAAAACTGAGTGTGTTACACTGAAGGTCTCATTAAAATGTCAATATGCTGAGTTGAATGAAATAGGACGACTCACTCTGTTGCTCCTCCTCTCATTATTTCTAGAAGCTCTGTAGAGGATGGTGATTTATGACCACTCTTTTTCCAGATAAAAAATAAAGTACTGTATTAAAAAAATACAGTTTTTCCCACAAACAAAAACTTTTAATATTTCACTTCATTTATCTTTACATAGAAGTATAATAATTTAGCAAACACAAAATCATTAAAAATCCAACATACATGTACATCATTTCGGTGACATTATTTATAACTCATAAGATACAAGTTAGCTGTCTTCTGTGATTTATAATCAGACATAGACCCGTTATCAACTGACGAAGCAACTTCAGCTGTTACTGTAGACCGGACTGAGAGGTGAAGTTACATGACAAACAAAACAAAAATTATCTCTATTTAATTTCAGTAGATCAAAGGTTTGGTGATATTAGTGATGGAGAACAGATCTGGACGTGTGATGTTCAGAGACGATGTTCAAGGCATCATTTAAAGTGAAATTTAGTTTTAAAATGTAGATTAACACATCTTGATGACATGAAAATCTATTGTGTTTCAAGTCATAACTATTTGCCTTTTAGGTGAAATAACAAGAAGTACAAATACAGAAAATAAATCAAGAGGAATATTCTCCATAATAAATCATCTTATAACGAAAACGTTAAGTGATATACAGTCTATACACTCTAATAAATAATTATATCAATGAACAACGTGAGGACTATGGTATACAGACAATAGTATGAGACTATTCAAATGGCTGATTACCAATAATTGGTGTTGTATTAATTTATGCTGACATTTCATGCATTGCTGCCTTCAAATGAAAAGTTACATCCACAATGATTCAACTTTCTAACCCCTATTATAAAAAACAAAACAAGAAACTTTCCACTTGACAATCAAAACCTTCAGAGAAATGTACACGTTTGCTGTCGTGTCATCGCAGTCAAATGGCCAAAGGAGATCAATCTTACAGGGAAAAAAATTGTGGATTATATGTTGTTATATTTCTTCAATCATGAGATCTAATTGATGTGTCAGAAAGTTCTTCCACTGTACCAACACGTTTTGAGAATTATTCTCATAGTGTTTGAGCCATTGAGAAATGATCTGTTAAATGCAGTTGGGCTGGCACCAAATCAAAAGCGCTGCAAGCATCACGGTACAGCTCTGAGGTCAATAAACAAAGGATATCACACATATACAACTGGGTATTACAGCTGAAAACAATGGTGTTGAGTTGTGTCTGGTGAGCAATTGTAGAAAAAACCCAATCTAGAATCACTTTAGGGTTAAGAAGAAATCTTCTGAATTAGTCCACTCCAGACTCTCCCTGAGCGGTGAAGTGGGCATTTACAAGCCAAATATTTACTGAGGAGAATCATTACTTCTTAGTCAGGCTCTCCAAGCCAGCTATAATATTTAGCTGGCTCAAGGACGCGGAGGCTAACATTTACGTGGTTTTAGAGCTGTTTATATAGAATTTAATGCAGGCCAAAAGGATATCCTGTACACACTGACCACTTAACAGAGCATGAAGGGGACAACATGTCACAAACCGAGAGACACAGTGGTAAAGCGTATACAGTCAGACATGTTCAGTCCTAATGTTGGTTTCTGTTTTTCCACAATCTATAGTTTAGAGCGAGAAAGTTGAGTAACATTACATTCTTTTTTGAGAAAGCTTAGAAACAAATGACAGAATGAATGATTTTAGAAAGTGAGATGAGTGACAAGTGTCAAGAGAGAGGTGAACATGACACACAGATCACCTCTGACTTTGAAGATGCCTCCAGTATCTTTCCTCCTCTAATGCAGCAGAACATTCTCCAGAAAAGATGCTGCTTACCAGGCCTCAGTCAACTTTCTTTAAGTTACTGTGCACTTTTCCTTTTGTTTCACATAAAGATGGTTACGTTTAGCAGTTTCAGGGCTGTCAGAAAAATCAAAAGAAAGGAAAACTCAAGAGTGACTGAATCTAATTGTACTAAGTCCCTTGTTAAGAGAAATTTTTTATTTTTTTTATGTGTAGCACCACAGCTTTGACTTTCAGGACTATCATTCATGTTTCCCATGGCAATTCAAGACATGTCAGAATAGTGTTCAGTCCTGTTTTACACCACAGTGTAAACATGACAAATAGCTGCTTAAATTGGCTTTTTAAAACTCTAAAAGGACAGAAAAGGGCTCTGCAAGCTTCAAGTTAAAAAATCAATAATACATAGACACAAATACATATGTATCCAACATACAGGACTGTTTTTGGTTTAGTTTAGAAAATCATAAACGTGATCACAAACTAAAGTGTCCCATAGCAGAGAATGAAAGAGAGGTTTGTCTTTTGCACCAGATTCTCACTGACACATTTACATTTCTGTCACAGGTCTGAATATTTCAAACTGGGTTGGGGTTTTTCCCCAAAGCTACGGTAGTGACAGTGATTTAAATCACGTTGGCCATGAGCCTCCAGTGTGAAGAGTGTCTCCTTTTCACTCCTAGCCTCTGTCTGTCTGTCTGTCTGTCTGTCTGTCTTCTTTTTTCAGTGTAGAATTAGATATTTTCACAATAAAGCATCTCTAGTGTGTCACTGATCCATGTTTCAGTACTTAGGTCTTCTCTGTGGATTACCATGTGTTTCCTTTCCAAACAGCTCTTTATGTGATGTGACATTGTCATTCCAGTAGTAAAGGGACACTTGAAGAATTGAAGAAAATCCCTTTATGTTTCTCAATGGCTTCCATATCTCCCATCTGTAGTCCTCCTCTGGTAATTTCTGTTTTCCTTCAGCTTTTACCCATCTCTTCCCATTCCAGACACAAAATGGATATATCTTTTCCTCTCTCCCCTCCCCCTCCATCTCTCAACATTTGGGGCATTTCAACCCATTCTGGAGCAAAGCCATCGAACTCACCTCCAGATTTCTTCATTCTCCTATTTCACTCGTCTATACTCCCCGTCCTCTCAGCACAGGGCTCGTTTCTGTTCTTCCTGTAGAAATGCCTGTTTCTCCATCAGTTTTCTAAACAGTCCTTGCCTGTTGCTTAGCAGCTCTGTGTGCTGGCCACACTCAGCTACACGTCGCTGATCCAGTACAGCTACGGCGTTCGCATTCTGGATGGTGGACAGACGGTGAGCGATGATGACGACTGTCCTCCCTGTTGATTGGGTGAGAAGGGCAGGACATAATAAGAAACAAAGAGTCTCATTAGGAAAAACACTGTAAACTGTATTGAATGTTAATTCTATTCTTTGTAAGTGGATGTAAAATAAAAGACAAAGACAGAGAGATCTACCTTCCATCAGGCGCTCCAAGGCCTCCTGGACCAGGAACTCATTCTCAGCGTCCAGTGCACTGAGGAAAGATTAGGGGTTTTTTTTCAAGCGACCAAACAAGTGTCTCTAACCAGAATGATGGACACCAGGTTTTAAAGGCCGTACCATCGTCATAATTTCTATACAGATTTACTGTGTTGTATTGCTGTGCAGGAGCAAATAAAGTCAATACGGATTAAGACAATGAAAGTATTGCGAGTAAAGCACTTTTGCTTACCAGTTTTACTGTAATTATTCATAATCAGGCATGACTCACCTGGTAGCCTCATCTAAAAGCAGGATCTTAGGATTCTGTTGAGAGAAAACACAAGAAGTGTTTATACATACTAATTCAGGTTTCACAGAAAAAAGCAAAGCTGAGACTAGAATACAGATCCTGGTTCCACTCGTCATTTTAAAGTTATTTTTGTGGTTCAGTAAAAGATAATGATGAAGACAAACTATGAGCAATGACATGCAGCTACATCCAGATTTGGATCACCTACCCGTAAATTACTATGACCAGGGTTAATGCACGATAAACGTTATGTGCAGATGAGAGGTATGACGAGAACTATGCTTTCTTCAGATGAGGATAAAAGTAAATCAACAGTGCTGCTGTACTTACCTTAAGCAGAGCTCTAGCTATGGCTATCCTCTGCTTCTGACCACCTGAGAAACAAACACACAAGCTAACTTCAGTTATGTTTACATGTACACACTGCACACAGGGCTCAAATTTACTGCACTGAATGTCCCACCTCGTCAAATATGAGTTTCAGATGAACACTGCTCAACCCAAACAAAGTAAATGATATACTAACTATTGTAGATACAGTTCCTTGCATCAACAGTGAAATAGATGATGGTATCATAAATCTGTTGTGCCTCTGCCTCTGTTCCTCACCTGACAGCAGCACTCCTTTCTCCCCCACTATAGTGTCAAAGCCCTTAGGAAAAGCCTGGATGAAATCATAGGCGTTGGCCACTCTGGCTGCCCTGTAGATGTCCTCTGTGGTCACAGCGTCTGGGTCCCCTGCACCGTAAGCAATGTTATCCCTGATAGAACAAGAAAACAGCACTGGCTCCTAGGGGAGAGGCGAGAGGAGGTGGGGAGAATGTGAGAATGACTTGAGATAATCTTCACTCAAAGATGCTTAATCTTTTTTCACCACTTGCAGTAAATTGAAATGTGCGACATATGTTGTGCGTCTGGCAGGTTTATGTGTGTGCTGTGAGAGCTGTCATATAGGAATATAAACAAGTTATACATTCACTCATTACCTGACTGACAGTTCCAATGTGACTCCTGAGCCAATAAGGATTTAGATCCCTGATGTCATGACCATCGATGTTGATAATACCTAAAGAGGTTTTGTTTGGAGGTAAAAAAACAACACGTTTCATTGGTAGTCTTGTACTTTTTAGTTTGTCATCATCATATTAATGAGTGAGCAGTAGCTGAACAAGCTCTTGCTCTCACCAGCATCAGGGTCGTAAAGCCTGAGCAGCATTGACACCAGGGTTGATTTTCCAGACCCACTGGATCCCACCACGGCCATGATGGTCCCAGCTGGGACCAGCAGACTAAGGTTCTGGAAAATAGGAGCCTCCTTACGGGTGGGGTAGGCAAAGGAGACATCACAGAACTCTAGCTGCCCTTTCAGCTGGTCAGGAGGGAGCACTAAGCCCTCTGTGGAGAAGCACAAAAATAGATTATGTAATTTAACTTGCAAACCCCTTGACTAACTTGATACAGTAATACAATATAACAATGAAATGAGTGGAAATAAAACAAATGATCACAGAGATAAAAGAAAAAAAATACTAGACACAGTCATTACACCTTAAAATATTAATATTACATAATGTTTATTCACTAAGTAGTCAAAAACATGAATATAAATTAAAGGCAAGAGAAGTTTGATGCCTTATATTGACTTCTGTTTTACAGCAGCAAAGTAAAAGCAGTGAATCTTTGAAAGTTGTAGAGTTAGAGAAACAACCGCTGACAGGCAATGTACACGGAGGGAAAGTTAAGACCTTACACTTTTCTGTTAGCAGTAACGATCCAAGGAAAAAATGCAGTTCTCAACAAAATATTAACAATTTTCCACATACACAAATAATTATAAGATGTTAATGATGTGTTTATGGGGTAATCATTGATGTAGCAAGTTAATAGTCTCCTGCCTGTGTGCGTGTGTATATGTGCACTGACCATTTAGAGGAAACTCAGGCTTTCTGTCCAGCAGTTCCCACAGACGGGCTCCGGCTCCAAAACCCTTCATCAGCTCAGAGTAGAATGAACTCAGACCTATGCATCAAACAGAAAAACACAAAACTATTAGCGATCATAGTGACAGTGCACACACATGAACATGGTACAGATAAAGAGATTCAGAGTGTGCATATGTGGGTGATACCTGCGATACTGATGCCCACCCAGAAGGTGTACATGAGGAACGATGAGAGCTCCCCCACAGTCATGTGCTGGCTGGCCATCAGAAGGCCTCCTTTATAGAGCACTGACAGGATCATGAGGTTACCACTGAGACCAGTCTGAAACACAAACACACACACACACACACACTTTGTTATTTGATTACCACAACATATGGCATCACTGCTACTCCCTGACACAGCAATGATTACACTGATGAGAACCTATCTGGGCCCTTTGCTGGATAAGCTAATCTTTGTGTCACTAACTACAGGCCACTGGGCGTTTTAATGTTATTTGCTTAATAACAGCCTGGGGCAGGACACGCAGGGAGTACTGCACACATTCAGGAAGAGGACAGAGAGGGAGAGAAAGAGCTTTTTTCCATCTATGGACTCAGTTGCCAATTTATCAGATCCTATTAGTTAAATCTAATCAATGCAATAGCCAAACAATAAATGTTATGTTTTGATACAGTATATGGTTTTTGTTGATACTGTGTCTGAGTGGTGTTCATGAATTTTTCTCTTCATTTTGAACGCTGTTGGTGGTGCTGATGAACTTCATTATACTAAAATGTGTTTTTCTCATATTCTCATATCACTGACATAAATAGGGGTGAAATTATAGGTTTTCTTAGGAGCTGCAAGGCTAGCTACAGTAAATCATGCAAGTGGGCTCATCTATTCTCTTACCATGTATGGACGATTGGAAAATACTTGGTGGAAAAAATGGTGAAACATTGTAACGTTTTATTGCAACAACCCTTAAATAAGGTGGCAAAATGCAGAAGCATGTGTGCAATACCTAATTTGCTAACTGTGGATTTGGTTTGCATCATCACTGACAAGACGCACACACACACACACAGACACAGACACAGACACAGACACAGACACACACACACACACACACACAAACCTACCACTCCAAAGAAACCAGCTCGTAGCACAGCTTCCTTCCTGGCCAGGCTGAGGACCTCGTCTGCCTTCTGTGTGTACGTGTTGACCTCTGACAGCTCTTTACCAAAAGCCCTGACTGTCCGCATGTTGCTGATACGCTCCTCTGCTAACTACACACACACACACACACACACACACACACACAGTTTTATTAGTACTTTATCTACAGGAAATTACATGATCAACATTGCAAATGTACTCTGCAAATTTAATCAAGTTACCACAGGCAGTGAAGCATTTATATTACCGGTAGATAGACATAAACAGTAGGGCTTCACTAACCATTAATGAGACCTGCTGTTTTCACAAAAGACCTTCATTAAATCATACACTGTAAAGGCATAATTACTGGGTTTATCGACAAAACTTTGCATTCACATTTTGTCGCAGCTTCCTTGTTTTCAACTACCACATCTTCAAATAACATCTAATTAATCCCTGCACCAATAATGTGATTATAAAACAAAAAAAACATACAAAAAACCGCACAATGTTCCGACCATTTAACTCCTGCTCACTTTTCCTTTACATCCCACCATTAACTACGCCTCAGCTGTGCCTTCAGTCGGTGTATATCAGTGCACTGTACCTGTGTGGCTTGTGCGAGTGCATCCTGTGTGCGTTTGGAGATGGAGCGAAGATATCTGCCATAGCCTACAGCAAGAACGGCCACAGGGGGAACAATCAGCAATACAAAGCTTGCAAGGCTGGGGGACACATAGAACTAGAAGAGCAGAGAGAAAAATACAGCAGTTAATAAAAATAAAGGAGAAGAAAAAAAGAAGAGAGGAGAGGGAGGGAGGTGGGAACAGAAGGTTCGCACCCAATGGCTCTTACAGTAATTACAGTAATTATTTCCATTCAGTTCATTGTACTAGGAAATAATTTTACTTCCTTGTAAGGAAAACAAGTTGTATGTCGTGAGCATGCATTGTGTTCATTATCATCTTCCTGTCAGTGAAAAGATGAGGATGAACCTGCTGGTAAATGTTTTCTGCTTTTCTTGTATTGATAAGGAATATTTTTGTAAACCTGTTTTCCGACAATCCTATAGTCTAACTCTCGGCTCACATACCCACAGCTCTGAGTGGATAAATGCAAACAAAAGACGTCAAACAATTCACATCTACTCTATTCTACTCTACTACCTAGCTCAACACCTGGTACCACAACTATCATTATCCTTATTATTGTTAAAGGTGATAGTAGTAGTAGTAGTATCATCATTACTATTATTATAGAGAGAATGACTGAATGACTTGTACATTGTGAGCATTTGTATACCATCAAATTAAGACTTTATAACTGGAAGACTGTTAGATTTTAGATTAGGATTACATTTTCTCATGATCAGGTTTGATCAAAACAACAGACACATTTGGGAGCGACCCTTCTTTTTGTGGCTAATAGGACATTTAGTATGTCCTTACTTTGCAGAATTGGTGTTAAAAGTATTTCATTTTCATCAGCAGTGCAAGACTTAACAAATTTATTTCACTTCATAAAAGATGTCCGTTAGTTCCTCACTCAAACCTGTCCTGACCAACCACAGCGGACCACTCTGAGTGATGTACTCACCATCATACTGACACCTGCAGCTGCCTGGGCAACAGCTCTCAGCCCATCTGACAGGTTGTCTGTGATTGAGCGGCCCACCACAGCTGTGTCAGCGGAGAGGCGGTTGATAAGCTCGCCGGTCCTGTTCCTGTCAAAAAATGCCACTTCCTGTCTGAGGATGGAGGAGAAGACGGAGGTACGGAGATTACGAACAATCCGCTGACCTGAGGAGAGAGGACAAAAGACATTAGTGAGGAACACAGAGGTAAGATACTGTCTCACTGAAACAGTCAGCTGATTCACATAATCAGCAGAATATTCATCTGAATTCAAGGTGAATGTGTCTGTGCCTCTGCAGTATTAACCCCCCTCCTTGTCTCACCTGAGATCTGCATGAGGTAGACTCTGGTGGCATTGGCTGCCCCACCACACAGAAACACTCCCGTCAGCATGATACATAACGATGTTAGGGAGGCTGCCATTGTCTCTGTGTCTGCTCCAGTTGCGTAGATGGTGTCAATCACTTTACCCAGGAGGAATGGAGCTGACATGGTTACTGCACTGGACACAGTTAGGAAGCCTACAGCAGCTTGAGAGGATAAAAGAACAGACAGTGAAAACAGAGACACAAATCAGAAAGCAAGAGCAAACAAGAATTCAAAGCAAAAGATACACTCAGATGAATGATTGTGAAGTAAAAACAAAGCTACAATTTGTCAAAGGAAGTCTTAATTTCAAATATGGAAGGTCGTTATTTAACTACAACAACAACAACAACTGTTGTAATGTATGAGACCAACTGGAACAAGCAGAAATATAATTTGGCTAATTTTTCCCTTCATATACTAAATCAAAACCCATCCTCCTTTGGGGTAGCTGACATTAACTGTGTGCATATCCCTCTTCTATATTTAGGTCAGTTGCAAGATAACATGACGGGAAAAATGGAGAGCATCTGAACACTGTATTACAGCTCCACAAACCTCGTTGGACGGACAAAAAGCGATATTTAACTCACCATAACCCGCAACTTTTTTCTTTAATGGAAAAAACATTACAATAAAAGTGACAGCCTTTAAACAAGTTTTTTTTTATTCTATCAGGGAAGCACAAAATAGTTGGTTGTGGATGAACAGACCTTGTTTTTTCATGGACGGATAAACGGTAATGCAAGACAGGTAAATGAAAAGAGGGTCCTCAACGTTTTGCTACGTCCCTGGTCTCAGAAACACATATACACACAGTTTACCTGCCAGTGTCCATCTCTCCGGGTGAGCGAGTCCCAAAATCCTTTTCACATCTTCCAAGGGGACCGTGGTCGGCGTTTGTTCCTTCTCCGTGCCCGTTTGGGTCTTGGCTGATCCGGCTGGTGTGGGTGTGGAGGCGGCAGAAGAGCTGGCAAAGGCAACAGGTGTGTGTGTGACTGTCCGTGCTCGGGCTATTGAGTTGGAGGTGTGTGAAGGGAGCACAGAGAGACCTCTGACTGGGCTGCAGGGCAGAACCGACGTGAGGGGCCTGGGTGTCGGATGGACCCCAGATTTGACCCCGGTCAACTGTTTCTTCCTCCGGAGGGCAGCTGAGAGGGTCAGGCGGTGCTCCAGCCATAACATCCTAGGCTGTGTTAGCCTCAGTTTGGATAAATGCACTCCGTGTGAGCGCCCTGACATACGGATCAAAAGCCACATCTTCTGAGTTGTCAGCTACTGACTAGATACGAGCTTTATTAGTGAAAAAGTAAAGGAAGTACGGCATTAGTGAGATGAATTAGATCCAGTGATAGGTGTTGTCGAGGTGTTTCTTGTTGAACAAGTCCATTCAGAGACATTTTAGTCCCCCAGTCGTTAGCTCAACATACCGTGTCCATAGTCGTTCAGTTGTTGAGCTTGTTGTGGCTTCATTGTCGAGTTTAGACCGTTATTATCCGTTTTATCTGCGTCCAACAGCCGCCTTCACCCAGTTATCTCTTATCACCGACCAGCTACCAACACCCTGCCTGTCACTGTCATCTGTCGCCCAATATTCAACATTTGGCCGGAGGCGGGTGAAGCAGAAACACAAGCAACACCGAAACCACTCTGAGAAAAAAAACAAATGTTCCCGTAAAGAGGGTGAAAGAGTGGAAAGAGGAAAGGTGACCCTGATGTGGCTCGCAGGTACACACGACTACAGCTCCTCGATGGGGGAAGTCAATGGCTGAGCATACAGGCAAACTTTCCCAGGCGTAACCAAGCAAACCCAGAGCGGTATGGCCCAGCCTTAAGAATTTGTGAATGAGTTCCCAAAACAAATGCATCATTAAATTTTTACACAAAAAACACTAATGTTTTTTTTTTTATTCAGTTCATACAAATTCACCTGAGAATGTGGTGACAAGAGATCTAAAGTCTTTTCTTGACGAACGGCGTTTTCATATGTTTCCTATTTTCATTTTATTTTGTAATTCATTAAATTTATTACCCCATAAAATATCCTTAGATACAACTTCTGCAATGCTCTGTGAAGAGTGGAGGTGGAGTGGAAAGCGAATATTTGGCCAATATGGGAACCAACCTTTGAATAATAATAGCGATTGACTCTCGATTGCTTCTGGCTGGCCGGCAGGGTGAAAGTTGAAAGTTCGTCGAAATCAGAAAACAGGAGACACGTGCAGACTGGACAGTCGTAAGTCTAATAAAATAAATCGACACAAATGCATAGCTATTATGAAACAAGCGGAGTTGAGGGCCAGGGGCGGTTTGCTTGAGTGCAGACGAGTAACAGCTCAAGTATTAGCTTATTTTGACGTTAGCTAGACCATGCTATCTAGCTAGGAGTCGTTAGCTTTAAAGCATGACAGCCTGTTAAAATCGAATACGTTGTGAGAGTCAAACAAACACAAACAGATAGAAAGTCTGTTTTAGCACAGGAGCACGAGCAACTCTCAAAGATGAAAAATTCATTGACTACTACACATGCACGAGTCTTTGCTGAGCTTATAAATGTGAACAGTTTCTTGTTGAAATGGATGTTGGCTAAAGACTCAGCAGTGGCTGCATACAATCCGAGACAACTATACCTACAATCCGGCCTAGATTCAGTTATTCTTCCTGCCCCCACAGACCTGTGCAACCGTAACACCAGCTGCAGCGATGGCTGCCATCTACTCAGGTATCCATCTGAAACTGAAGAGTCCTCAGACTCCATGGGAGGACAAGCTGAAGCTGGCACGTTTTGCCTGGATCTCCTCACAGTGCCTACTGCCCAACAAGGAGCAGGTAACAGCTGAAGTTGTCTCACAAGATGCCTGTGTCTTCCTAGAATGATGAGGATGCCTGTTTTGTTGCCTGTTTTACTGTGGCTGTGTTGTTGTGATGTCGGCAACCCCAAATAGTTATATATGTTCAGTGTGAGAAGTGACTACTATAGTTTTATTCAACACCTTATATCAAGATCCATGAAGATCATTGTCAACATATCAATTATCAAAGCATTGTCTGCACATATTTTATGTCCTACACTTTTTCCTCCCAAATAACATTTTTTAAAGAATTTTAGTACGGGGTTGTAGTGGTAATTTTCTTCAGGATGTTTACAAGAAGTACTTTACAGACTTGGGTTTGGATTCAGTCTATGTTAGTGCATGTTACTTGATGTTTGTGCCAACATTTGCACTGTGCTGATGTAGTGGCCAATTTTACCCTTAGGGATGTAAAGTTAAGTCCTTGTCACTTCCTAATTGTTGTTTATTCCTTCTGTCATTGGTTCAAAATTCTCTGTGTCAATTCTGGGATAGTTGAGAAAAGATTTCCTGTATTAAATTAATTTAAAAGCAGCATATTAATATCTGTTGTGTCCCTTTCCCACTGTAGGTGCTGTTGGACTGGTGCACCCATGCTCTGACAGGCTGGTACAATCAGAAGGTGGAGTTTTCTCAGAATGTATTGGAAGGCCTGTGGTGTTACCTTGATGACCTGCTTCACAGCCGGAAGCTCCACTCACTTCTCAAGCAGGGCAAGACCTTCAGCCTGAGGCTCAACATGGCACAGGTGAGATTGTTCATGGGATAATGCTCTGGCTCTAGCACATTCATACTTTAGAAGGTTGTATTGATTTTAATATGAAGGTTTCACTGACACCTTTTTCCTGTGTTTGTGTCTAGCTGCTGCTTGACCGCCTCCAGGAGTGTGCACGTGTTGGATCCAAGTCACTGTTGTGTATGTCCACCATACTAAGTGTGTGTAAGGGCATTCTCTCTTCTCCTGTGCTCTCATCTGTCTTCACCACCAAGTATGAGCTCATGGTTGATCTGCTGGCCAAGCTCTGCTCTCTGGCCTGCTGTGAGCTACAGCAGCCATTGCTCACAGAAACCCTAATGACTCAGATGACTGAGTCCATCACAAGCCAAGACCCGGTGGTGACTGAGTGTCTTCAAAATGAACCTGCTACCAACTTGGACACTTTGGACACTCCCCCAGATCACCCAGAGTCAGATACGAATAAATCCCCCTCCAAGCCAAATGAAAACCTACATTCATCTAATGTGTTTGAGGTGTTGCTTCAGGTGTTGTCATGTTATTTATCAGTCCAGCGACAACAAGCCAACCCTAACAGAGTCTTTACTATGGTAACCAACCAGCTGATCCAGCCATTAGTACTACTCAGACACCTGCTGACTTCTGGGGAATTTGCTCCATCTCAGACACATTTGCATCTCCGCCAGCAGCTGTGCAGAGACGTCCGTGTCAAGGTAGACTCCATCCTTCAGTTTGCGCTCTTCCCCTCTGAGCACCTGACCTCCTACAAGGAGGAGCTCCTTCCATCTAAAGAGGACTCTGGGAAACGTGGTCCAGGTGGGGCAAAAGGTCCCTTGAAGCCAGTCAGTGCCATACTTTCCAAACTGAGTTCTCAGGATTACTGTGAGCCATGCCAACTCTACTCTGTGAAGTCCAACACATTGTCTCTGCTGTTTAAGTTTTTTCTGGAAAGCTATGGAAAAGGAAGAGGAGAAAGTGAGGAAGAACACAGGATGCTGTGTTTCTATTTTCTCGGCAGATTGGTCCCAGCCTTGGATCTAGGTCTTGATGGACACTCGCTCTCACCTTCAAAAGCCGACCAGTCAGTCTCTGTGTCCCCTGGGCAGAAGTCTCCCCTGGCCTCCCTCTGTTCCCCAGAGAGCTGGAGCCTGGCCCTGCTGTCTGTGGAGTCGCTGCTAAGCCAGGCTCTGTCAGCTGATATCTATAATGTAGCTGCGGACAGGATACGACATGGAGAGGTCCAGCTCAACTTTTACAGAGCCCTGGGACAAATGCTCTTCAACCACTCCCAGCCAAGGTAACAAACCGCCCCTCCTGATGTGCTTTTCATTGAAACAGTCTTTTGGTTATACAATGTAAAACTTTTGTATCTTGTCTTTCAGTATCCCAGCATGGTACCGCTGTTTGAAGGTTCTGTTGAGTCTCAACCATCTGATTCTTGAACCAGACCTGGACCAGCTCTTATCTTCAGCCTGGGTTAATTCTGAATGCATGGAAGCACGAGTGCAACGGGCCAGACAGGTCTTGATTTCATCAGTACATCCAAAATTTTATAGTGTAATAAAATATTTGTTTGTATTTTATAAATGTTATGAAAAGTCAATAGTAAAACCCAAGCCAAGAATTAAGTAATTGTAAATACAGAGTTAAAATGCTAAAATCTTTAAAAGAGAGAAGTTTTGACTGATAAGATGTTTTATTCCAACAGCTCATGGTGTGCAGCATCCTTCAGACCTACACTAAGCTCCGTCAACTCCCTCGCCTCTTCTCTGAGCTCCTGTCTGTGATCTGTCAGCCAGCTCTGGACGAACTCCGACCTCCTCTGCTGTCTGAGGGGGTCTCTGCCTCCCTCAGGACTTGTCTTCTGGACACACCACCGTCCCAGGGCCTAGAGATCTGCTCATTAGTGTTGGAGAGCATAAGGAGATATATACTCCCTGACCTGGTGAAGGAAGAACGAGAGGCAGAGAAGATGGAGACTGATGGAGGAGGAGATGAGAAAGGAGACGTTAAGGTGGACGAAGAGAGACAAGATGCATCCCTGAAGCTCTTCTCCCTCAGCCAGCTCCTTCATGCTGTTTTATTTAGTCTGAAGACTCTAGATAATGCTTCCCCTGTTCCTTTAGTCAGGCAGAGTCGAGCCCTGATGGAGGAGATGCAGCAGGTAATCAAGGAGCTACTTCAGCTGTTGTCAACAGAAAAGAAGAGACCTGTAAAAACAAATCCAGTTCAAAAGACCCCACGGAAAGGCAAAAAGAATTTGGACCACAAAGAGTCAGAGAAGGTCTCAGAGTCTAAAATAGGAGTAGTGTGGGAACAGAAGACCCAGGAGGCGACTCTTCTCCTCAGGTACACCTGGGTGGAAGTGGACACACTTTTTGATATCCACTGTAGTAAATACACATCCCTTGATTCAGCCCAGATGGCAGCTGTAAGTGAGACTGAAGACAAAGCTCTTTCTAATGCTCCATTCTTAACCCACATAGAGAGCCTTGTATCTGGTGACATTTTACCAGCATTTCTCTGTCCCTCTGCCTCCTGCAGCCCCATGAGCTGCTTGCTGCTCAAACTCCTCACTTTACAGCAGATGAAGAAAGTTTTGTTAGATAGCACCTCACTCTGTGAATCCAGCACTGCAGCACTGCTGAGCAGGGCAGCCCAGTTCATTTTGGCTAAATTGAAGCTTGAAGTGAGTCTGGATGGAGAGCAGGGGTGGGACGGGCAGATAGGCAGTGTGAATGCCAGCTCCTACCTTGTAGCACACTGGCATCTTGTCACATCCAATCTGCCTTTGATTGCCCCCTACCTGAGCGGAGAAGATGTGGGCTGCATAGCAAATGTTCTTGTCAGTTCAATCCTCAGCAAACAGACAGACGGAGGGAAGGACCGGCCGCCCAGCTGTCTGACTGTCTCCATCATATCTTCACAGCTTCTCCAAAGCCCAATTCTTGCGGAGTTGCCTTCACTTTTCTCTGCCACAGTTTGTTCCCTCACACATAGGATCCATGGTGTTCTCATGGTGGCACACACACCCAAGGTCTGTGCTACACTCCCAAAGTTTCAAGAGGAAGAAAGTGATGCCAGTCAGACTCTGTCAAAACTGGTGAACAAAGAGACCATAGTTGAGGATATATTAGCGTCCTCTAAGACTGGAGATGTGTTTGTATCGCTGACTGA